TCAACCGCAAATAATTAGCTTTATATGAATACTATTTTTTTGTTTTTGCAGAATCTCGATGAATGTTTATCATCCCTTTGTATAACTTGCGTATTTAAATCAAGAGCAATCAAAGAAGTTCAAAATAATATAAGAGTACGATTATATGGACTTAGTAATGGTCTTATGTTGAAAACGACTGAGAAAAATGAGCTTAATTATGAAGAAGTAGAACATACCAAAGATGTCTGTCCGGAAGAAACCAAGTTTGGAATAAAGAAAAATATTGAACACAAGACAGAGAGAACTCTTAAATCTATTAAATGTGCCAATAGTGTTTGTAAGACGACGCAAGCTTCACCAATAAGAAATGCTGAAGAGAGCGGAATTGTTCCGCACATATGGAATAATTCGCTTACAACTTCTATTGAAGGGTCCAATTCAAACATTCCCCTATCTAAACATCCGTACCATCCCTCTTCAAATAAGTATTTTGACAAACACCGTATTATCGATAAATCCGTTGCCAAAGTTGTGACATCGGACAATAGAAATACTGTCCAATCGAAAAATTTGGATATGAGCGAGAATGTACACGTGCCATCAATACAACATCTGGAATCAATGATTACAGAGTATACTCCTGGGCTACAAACTTCCATGCCATTGCGGGAAAATGCTGAGTTAATAGGAAGACCCATACCGAGTTCACAGCTATCGTCTTGTTCAAATTCAACGTACTCGCAGAATGGTGCCAGCCATTCAATGCTACAAGTTATTCGGGAACGCTCTGAATCTGTTTTGATTACAGAATCTGGCGGGAAAATTAACAACTATAAACGTTCTTCGCTCCCGCAAACCCAGAGATTGTGTCAATACTGTGGTAAAAGCTATATACGAAAAGACCACCTTACCAAACATGTAAGACGCTGTCGCAATCTGTTTGCACGAAGCTTGCCATCTTTGGCTACCACTAGCGAAGAAAATAAAGGAAATGTTAGTTCCAAGCGCTTTCTAATCAATGGAGTGAACAATTTTATCTCTCAAACCACCTTTGAGACGTTGAAGCGAGAACGAAAATTTCATTGCACCGAATGTTTAGCAACGATGAATAGCTTAACACAGTTGCGGCAGCATCGTGCCACACATTTGCGAGAGTATATTTGTGATATGTGCAATAAAAAATTTAGTACTTTGCATGAACACGATTTTCATCGCATCGTTTGTTTGGCAGAAAGGCAGGTATGGCAGGAACAGCATCTTAATGAAGATGAAAAAGGACTGCCACTAAATGATGACAATAAATCTATTGTCCGATCCCAGCGATCATTTATAAAATCAACGGCTAGTCGTCGGATAACACGCGCTCAAAGTAGAGCCAGGACGAAAGTGGTGGAAAAGCCGGTATTACGGCGCAGATTAACAGTGTTAACTAGCTTGTCACAGTACATATATGGGCACACTGATAATGAGAATAGTGACCTAGATGGTTGCGACTTAGGCAATGATGACGATGATGATGTTTCCGTAGCAGACTCAATGGAGTCAAATCGGAGAGTCTACACTGATGATTGGTTAGATAGACGCAATTCGAATGAAAATGTAGATGTACCAACAATGCAAATTGATAGTGAAAAGGAGTATGGTGTGTACGATAGAACTTTGTAAATTAGCTTAAATCTATTTTGTGTCAATTAATTACAGATCTTTACCTTCTGGAAAGGCTAAAAGCTCAGATAAAAGCTCAAGAGTTTACTTGCTTATCCGAAGACTGCGGTTTCTTCACTGACACATTGTTGAACCTAATGCTACATGATTATGTTCATCATTTCAAAAGCTCTTGGTTTTATTGTCAGAAATGTGGTAGCGTTTTTACAAGCAAGTGAGTACAAAGTATT